TGTGTGTGTGTGTGTGTGTGTGTGTGTGTGGCCAGCTCAGCCCTCCAGGGGGGCGCGGCTGGCCGGTGTGTGGTGCTGGAGGATTGAACCGTGGTCCCTGTGCTTTGCCAAGCTTGTTCCAAATAGGTGCTTTAGACCACTGAGCCATCTCTCCAGCCCTTTAACCTTTTTAAGATAGGGTCTTGCTATGTACTTCAGGCTGGCCTTGAGCTCACTTTGTAGGCCAGGCTCCTGCCTCCTGCCAAGTACTGGGATTTCAGGCATGCACTGCCACACCCAGCCTCTTCTGATCTTTCAGTCCCTGCCATGAGGTGAGCAGCTTTGTTCTGCCACTTCCTCCTGATGCCTTGCATCCCAGGACAAGGAGCCCACTGATCAGGGGTGGAAGCCTCCAAAACTAAAAGCCAGAACAAGGGGCTGGGGAGATGGTTCAGTGGAATAAGCACTTCCCTGGCAAGTGCAAGGGCCTGAGTTCAATTCCTGGTTCTGCCAAAAAATAAATTAATTAAAAAAATAAAAGAACAAGCATTCAAGTTGATTATATCAGACAGGAATCCTATTGCAATGTGACAGCTGACAAGAGGGCCCTCCATGCCCACTGAGGTACATCTAAGTTTGCCACCCTGCAGTGATTCGAGGGAACATCATGAGCCAAAGCAAGAGGTAGAGGAGGACCCAAGGTGAGTTGTTTTTTTCCCCCCAAGTTGCATTTTGATAGTTCAGACAGATGAGGTCTTTAAAAACAAAAAGCCTGGGAATGGTGACACTCCTGTAATCCCAGCTCAGGAGGCTGAGGTAATAGGATTACTGGGAGCTTGGGAGGAGGTGAGTGTGGATGAAGTGAAGTGACTCCTGGCAGAAGAGGGCCAAGCTGAGAAATTGTCAGGAGAAAAGCTAAAAAGGCTAGGCAAGAGGAAAACGAAAGCAGTTTTTAGCTTGTTTGACACATTAATGGAGTTAGTGATACGAGATGGGGTGCACAGAGGCAGTGATTATGTGATCTCCACAGTGTAGGGAAATGGACCCCTTCTCACCCTGATGAGACCAAGAGGGCATGTGAGGCTAATAGGGAGCTTATGCAACAAGCCAACCAGGTGGTAACTCCCCCCCTCCTTCTGTCCTAATATGTGCAGCTCACCTCTTGCTTTTCACAGTGCAGAGGAAGGTGCCAAGGGGTGTCAAACAGCACCCACAGCAGCCTCTACCCAAGCCCTACAGACAGTAGGAATGGGTGTCCCAGCTGCCACATGCAGTCCAAAAAGAGAAAGATGGGGGGGTCCTCATGTTTTGGGTGGGCCTGGGAAAAGGCTTGAATGGGCACAGCGCTGCTGGAAGGGGTGGTTGGCCTGGGGAAGGGGCAGAATGGTGGGCACAGGGAAGCAGGGTAGAGCCGGGGCTGGGTGGAGCCGGGTCCTTCTCTCTCCAGTTCCTGAAACCAGTCTTAGTCTGGCTTGAGGGGTCCAGGATGAATTGGGTCAGTGAAGTCAGGAGCAAGGTGCTGCCTGTGCCTTCAGCTCACAGCTCATCAGTGATGACACTTCCTCCCCACCTGAGGTGGTCAGGTGAGGCCTAGAATGGCCATTTAGGACAGACTCTGCACACTTGAATCAGTTTTGTGCCCGGTTTCCAGAGCCCTGTCGAGGCAACCTCATTTGCTCATAGGTAGGTAAGAGCCTTCTCTGTGACTGGGCTGCCAGGCAGATAGTGCTCAGTGATTCCTTCATGTGTGTGAGGCGGCAGCAGCCCTCTAGTGGACCAAGCCAGCTGTCTGTGCCCTGTTTCCAGTCCCCATGGGCTTCCCCCAGGTGCATGAAGCTCTCACACAAATGAGAATCTTATCATCCCTTCCCGGGCCCAAGCTCCCTGCAAGCCTAGCCTGGGAGTAAGTGCTCCATCCCAGGGAGGGAGACAGGCCCCACAACCTGTTTTGTTGTGTTTTGTTTTGTGAGACATGAGGATTTATTAGAGGTTAAATATGGGACACACTCAAACTTGGAGTGCAGTTGCTCAGAGAATTAAGGCATGCAGAACCCTTTGAGAAGCCTATCTGATAATAAGAGGGGGACATGGGACCCTTTGGGTCTAATCTGAGGTACAAAATACCCTGAAGACCCTGAACCTGACAGAAATAATGTTTTGGATTTGTTTGTTGTTTTTTTGAGATAGGGTTTTACCACATAGTTTAGCCTGTCCTTAAACTCACTGTGTAGCCCAAGCTCACCTAGAATTCACAACAAGCCTCTTGCCTCAGCCTCCCCCAAGTGCTGGGATTCCAGGCATGTGCTACAGTGCCTGGCTTAATTCACTGTTCTCAGGATCCTGAGGATTCCTCAGTCTGATGTGGGACACCCAGAATCCTTTAGGGAGAGCTAGTCTGTTGGAAGGGAACAACATTACCTGAGGATTGGTCTTGAGTTGCCCTCCAAAGAAATAGAATGTCCTGGAAAACCCCATTTACCCCTGAGGCACCTCAGTCTGATTGGAACAATACACACTGT